CCTGACAGGGATCTGGGGAGAGGCTAAAGGATTCACAAAGTAAGAGGTTATGTGGGATAGGGTATCGGTGGGATAAGAGGAAGAGGGCCACTGAGGAAGGAGGAATTCAAAGGAGAAAGACTGATGGAGTAAGAATACAGGAAAAGAGTTGTGGCGTGCAGGGCCCCTGAGAGATTGGAAGGCCCAGGAAACGGTTGGACTTCTGGCAGTGTCCGCATTGCTCTTCCTGTCTTCATGTACAAAAGATAATGGCAACTGTCAAAGAAGTCTGATGCATTGTAGGTTCTCTAGAAGGTCATTCTGACAGGGCTGATTCAGTCAAGTTAATCAGGAGCCAAGTTGATACCCATAAGGCTTTTCTTGTTTCAGGGAGTTCATGACGCACCTGCCCAGCAGAACCCCAACCCTCAGCCTAAACACACTAACATGGTTCCTCTCACAAGTGCTGGGCTATGGGGGATCTCCCCACATTTGCCCTGCACTGGATAAACAATACTGGTAGAGGATGGGTTAGTGGGGCTCTCAGAACTTAAGACATGTGCCATCTTGAATTTGGAAAGTACTTTATCCAGAAAAATTGAATCTTTCTGAACTCAGGTACACCAGTCTCATCACTCCTTTTCTTTCTGCTGGAATGTTGTTTTTCTATCTAAAGATAAGGGGCATCAGAGGATTGAGCCTAGAGTCTCCAGAGTATGGGGAGTACTTAACTGTCCAGGCTTCTTTCAACAGCTGACTGAAACCACAGGTGGCTGTGACCAATGATCCACTAAAACAGGCTTGCTCTCCCAAGAAGCCATATTCTGGTTAGACCTTCCCCACAAAGCTTGTGTCTTCAGACCCCTCGCAGGCACATGTTGACCAGTCTTGCCTACCCCAGCTCACAGAGACCTGTGATAGAAGTCTGTGCAGCTCTTTGTTTCCAGGTGAGGCAGATGCCATGGGGCATTTGGGCCAAGAGTTGTGACTTGGTATGACTCACTCAGCTGTGCAGTGTCACAAGGAGGGGTCAAGGTTGGTGGGGAGAGGGAGCAGCAACCCCCCAAAAGTCCTTCTGAACGATGGTGTCTGATGCACAGACAGATCCGTGTCTTTCTCTTCCTGCCCTCCTTGCCTTTCTCCAGTCTTTCTCCTGTAAGCTCACCTGAAAACTCTCTCACTTTTTCTGCAAACCGTAACCTTCACCAAATTATATGCCTGACCCCAAAGAAAGGGCTGGTGACTTCTGCTGCCCAGATTACCCTAACTCCATGCATAGTGGGAGATGCAATGATCTCCCTGGAGCTGAAAGAAGGTGGTAAATATAGTTTATTCTCTCCACCCAATATGGCCTGAGACTGACTGCCTCAAGAATTAAAACAAGGCAAACCTACCTCACCATAGCAAGGATTGATTTTCTTATATACATCACACAGTTCAGTCCAACTAAAACCAGCAGGCTGTCCAGGGACCAATCTCACTCAGCTGCCAGGTTTCGTTTATCTTTGTGTTTTTATTGTTTTCTATTTTCAGTTAGGTACTTTAGACAGTTGAGAGATTTCACACAATGAAATTCATGATTCTGGAACCTCCTGAAAATGAAACAGAGCAACAGCAACAAAAACTGAGGGTTAGGCCCTCATTCCAACAAGGATACATGTAGCTGGGCCTTAGGCAGGTCTCAGTCCAGTTTAGATTCAGAATACTCTCTCCAGTAGGCCACACCCCCAGCTTGCCAAGTTCACTCTAATAAAATGCACAGTTGTCCCCTGGAAGTGTTCATGCTTGTAACTGGGGCTACACCCTGGGAAAACTGCCCCTTTGACTTGCTTTGATCCCATTTGCTTTTTAATTTACTTGTTTTCTTTATCCCGCAACTACTTCAGGTGGGCTCTCTGCTAGGTACAGATACCTATGATGTAATCATGAACGAAAGAAACAAATAAAATTCTTATCCTCATGGAGCTTTCATTTTAGTGTGGGAGACAGACTGTGGCCAAAACAAACAAGCAATTATAATGTGTTTCATAGTGACTAGTGTTAAATAGAAAACAAAAGCAAGAAATTGGGATAGAAAATTTCAGGAAGGAGGCTGAAACTAGATAGAGAAGGTGGCCAGGGAAGACCTCACTGAGAACTTGGCTTTTGAGTCTCACCGGAGGGCAATGGGAGAACTGACCCTGCAGCTGTCTGGGGAAGGAGCATGCCGGATGGAGGAACAGCAAGTGCAGAGCACCAAGACAGGTTATGCCTGGCATGTTTGAGGAGCAATGAGGATGCTAGCATGTCGGGAGCTGAGGTGAGCAGGCAGAGAATAGCAGGAGGTGGTTTCAGAGAGGTAATGGGGATGAGGGAGAGGCAGACAGCTGACAGCTCTGTGGATTTCAAAATGCAATTTGTCTTTTACATTGATGTGATGGAGAGTCATCTATGTATTGATAGTGGAGATTTGTCTTAGTTTAACAGGATCACTCTGACAACTTGGAGAATACTTTTTATTAGTACATGATGAATTAAAGGGGAAATAATTAGTAGGCTATTCCAATTATGTAGGTAACAGTTGATGGTGGGTTTCACCATCCTGGTGGCAGTAGATATGGTGAAAATTAGTTGATCTCGCTGTGCATTGGAAGAGAATATGAGTCAAGGACTACACCATGTTTTCTGGTCTTATTGAAGATTTCCTTAAGAGAAACAAATTCCCAGTGAAAACTACAGATGACAGAGTTGGGCTCAATACTAACTGCCTAGATTGGGTATAGAATACTGATGAAGTGATCTCTACAGAATGAGAAACTGACCCATAAATTCATTGATAAATCATTGTTATGAGCCTCTTCCCTCTTGATAACTTCCATAGCCATTATATAGGAAACCACTGATATGTTATTTTGGCAATGGGGCAACAGGTACTCCATAGGAAGTTTGTCACAGAGTTAAAACAGTTAGTGAAAAAGTTAATGTAAGGCTGTTTGTAAGTTCTTAGTAGTCAGACAGCGCTTTAACCTGTATTCTGTTTGGATAAGGGGCAGCGTTTATAGTTAGTAGATTTGTTCAAAATTCATACATATGTCACATCCCATTTCCTGTTCCCCAATCCCATGTGATAATATTGTCCTGAGGATATGTGAGTTAAAATTTAAGAGAGTTTCATGTTAACTCTTTCTCCTCTCAGAGATTACGGTACATTTTTTAATAAATCATGTCCTACATTTATTCTTGATAAGTAACAATGGGTTCAGGCATATCTGTAACACTTTTGCTTTCTCTTTAAGACTGGAAATTGTACCATATCTCAACATAATGTTACAGTTATATTACAGTTAATGTTACAGTTAGTGTTTCAGAGGATGAAGAACTAAACGTCTTCTTTTCTCTTTGCAAGTTTGTAACTATATCAGAGAATAGCAGCATCATCACACAATGATGAAGTCAAATATCCCCTTTATATTTGATAAAAGCTGAACTGGAGGACATATTTAGATAGGGGGCTTCAGGAAATTCCTAATACTTCACCCAACACAAGCACACCTGAATAACTATGGACAACTCTGATACAGCCACAAAGCTTACCCTACAGTTGAGAGTGAATCAGAGTGCCTCTTCCATCCAAAAGCAATAGATCCAAGAGATAATTTGAACAGGTTTTCACATGTCCAACCTCTCTCAGTTTCACCAATTAGAAGTCATTGAGAGATACGAAGCCAGGAGAATGAGGGTGCTGTTTAGCAAACATTATACACAGTATTTCATAGAAACAAAATGTAATTTTTAACTTTATGCAATTAATATGTTGCACAAAATACATGAGCATAATTTGCAATGTATTATAGTTTAGAGGTTAGATATCTTCAGTGTGGCTTCGATGTAGTTTTAAAAATCAATTTTGGGGGCATCTGAGATAAATGTTGAGCTGCTAAGCTCACTTATTTAAATAAGTAATATCACATATTAAACAGGGGACTCACAAAGAGGGAGCATTATTGCACTGACTCCTCTATAATCTTCTTGCCTTCGTTGTCTTGAAGGAAGTAACTATACCACTGATTGACCACAGTAGTGGCTAAGTAAAACCCCTAGTTTAAAAGACACTAAAACAGTGAACACATGAAAACTCTTGCACTAAAAATCACTACACTCTAAAATGCTGGATAAAATATGACAGACCTCCTTTTAAATGTGTAGCTGTGCTTAAATGTTGTAAGTCCACAGGGACCAAAATAGAGAACTGCAAACAGGGGTAGTAAGCACATAACCTGATGCTTTGGCAACATGGAAGCAGAGGGGTGCTGTCTCAGTAACCAAAGGATTTTAAAAGATAAGGCCTTAAGTTTGATAAAGTTGCCTGTTGGAAACTAAGATCTTCTCACCTGCCTTTCAATTCTCCACATAATAGCCATAAACTATCTTTTAAAATGTAAACCAGATTATACCAACCTCCTGCTTAGAATCTTCCAAAGGCTTCTTATTGTAGTTGATATACAAAGCAATCTTCATGCCTTACTCTGCATGCGCTAGATCATGCATTCTCAGGCAGGATGATATTGCCCCCAAGGGTGAGAAATATGATGGTTGATGTGAGAGGTAAAAAGATACTAGTTTACAATGGTTTGTGTCCTCCAAAGCTCACCTGTATTGACAAATCTTATACCTTAGAACTTAATCACTCTTGTTTTCTTGGATATCACAGGAGCATTGCCATTGAACTCATGGGAAATAAATGAAATGTAAGACCAGAACTACAAAATCAGAGCAAATACGTGTATTTGATTGTAGGACTTTCAATCTATTGCTCATTCTTGAAGTCATATGTCAAGAAGTGGCCTGTGTGTACCCACTGGCTGCCATTGATTATGTTTGATCCTCAGTGTCCTTGTGTGTGACTTGGGCTTGGAGAATTAAACAAAATAGTTAATATTAACTTTACAGAAATTATTTAATCCATTATTATTTATGTCAAGTACTATAAAGAAAAAAGTGATGATGTATGAATATCTTGCAGCTAGTAATAACTGATTTTCTCACATCAAGCAAAAGTAAAAAGTTAAATTTACAAAAATAACTTTTAAAAAATTAATTTAATGTTTTCAATTGTTTCACCTTTGCTAGAAAAATGTTTTGAATAATTTTTAAAATGTTATTATATCACTATTATGTATTTATATAAATTGCCAATATACATATATATTTGACACATTATAATTTATGTAATAAATTTCATTAAAAATCCCTTAGCAATACAGTTATACAGTCAACTTAGATATTACTAGCTTTCTAATTTTACTTTACTACCTTCAAATTTTATTCATACTTAATCCTGCATACAGCTTGATTATGTATAAAATACAGATACACATGTATTTATTGACTAGATTATACAGTACATCATCGGTATTCAAATTTCATGAGGAGACAATTAGGAAAAAGAAGAAAAAAGAACCTTATAAAGCCATCTAGTGAAGAGGGGACAATAATGAAATAAGAATGAAGAAGCAGTGCTCTGGATGATCTCACTTTTTTCTGATTCAATCATGGTTTCCTTTTCACTGTATACTACAGCATTTTTCTATTCTCAAAGGCTTGAGAAACATACTTGTTTCCACTTCAAAGCTTTTATGCTAGAGTTATTTCTTACTCCCATAGCTTTTTATAACTTTTCATAACTGCTTGCTTCTCATATTCAGAGCTTGACTGAAATATTACCTGTTCAGAGATTCTCTCCTTCTACCCCATTACCTTGTTTTTTCTTACCCTGTAGTACTTATCACTATATGAACTTGTCTTTTAGAATGTTTTGTCTTCTCTCTGACTGCTGTATAATATAAACTTTGAAGGCAGGAATCTTATTTATCTACTTCATTCTAGTACTGTAGTGCCTAGGAAAGGGTCTGGAACATAGGAGACACTCCATAAATACTTGTGAATAAGTTTATTATTGCATGACAATTTTATATTTTCAAATAACTTACTATAAATCCCCTTTGCATTTGTTGGTCTTTTTTTCTGAATTGCCAGTTTTCTTTCCTATTGTTTTATTTTTTCACAAAATTTAGACATAGGTTTTGCTATGCCTTCTACTAATTTTCTGCTTTTATTTCATACGCCTCTGCATATTTTAGTTATTTTTAAGTTTCCATGGCTATCTATAATGATAATTTCTAGCTAATTTTTAAGGGAAATAGCAATTACTATAAATTTGCCTTTGAATAGAGTGCTGGCTGTAACTGACACATTTTAATATGCTGTGTCATCGTTGATACCATTTCTCAAGTTCTCTGTTAATTTTTTTTAAATTTTCTTTTTTGCTGTAATAACTTCTTAGAAGATTACTAAACATTTGTGAATACTGGGGGAGGGACAGACAAAGCACATATATATTATATATTCTTAAATAAAAGATACTCTTTTTTTTTTTTTAGATGGAATCTCACTCTGTCACCAAGCGGGACTGCAATGGCGCAATCTCGGCTCACTGCAACCTCTGACTCCCTGGTTCAAGCGATTCTCCTGCCTCAGCCTCTCGAGTAGCTGGGATTACAGGCACATGCCACCAAGCCCAGCTAATTTTTCTATTTTTAGTAGAGACAGGTTTTCACCATGTTAGCAAGGATGGTCTCGGTCTCCTGACCTTGTGATCCACCCACCTCGGCCTTCCAAAGTGCTGGGATTACAGGCATGAGCCACCGCGCCCGGTGAAAGATAGTCTTCTTTATCTGGAAAGGTTCTTTTATATCAGTAAAGGTAACGTTAAGAAGAAAGAATACCTCAACTTTGAGAGAAGACAAGATACCTACCTCATCAGCCAAATAAGCACCATCAACCCTCAAAATAGATGGAAAGAGAAATGTCACAATGGGATTGCATTCGCTTGTTAGTGCAGCATTGTTTGCAATAGCCAAAATAGCTGGGGAAAAATCCTGAATGTCTATCAATACCAGAATTGTTGAATACATTGTGTCTATATATCATATGAAATATTATGCAATTATAAAGATGTTTTAGAAATATATATGGTTGTGTAGTTGCACACAAATATAAAGTGTATGATCCCACTTAGGTTAAAAAGTGAGAAAGACTTCCAAATTCCTATATTTCTGTTTATATTTATATATTGTTATAACATCATAGAAAATGGTTTGGGAAAATATATGCCAGAGATTTAACATTGGTTAAGTGTGATTGAAGGTGGAACATGAGAACACTGGGAAATCCTGAGAGGTGGCAAGGAGAAAAAGAAATGAGATAGAGAAAGGTCTATTTTATCATCATAGATCTTTTCATTGTTATAAAGATTGAAGTAAACCATATTAATTTTGGTAATTTTGAAAGATGGCCTTAATATAATGCATTAAATTTAAAAAAAATAGGTGATTAGAATGTTATTGTTTATCCTCATAAGATTGAATATCAGGATCACGTCTTTAAGGCAGAGAAACTTAAAGTATATAGAAAATAGATGTGAGGTGAAGAGACTGGAGTCCAGAAGCCTACCTCTTCCTCTGAGGAGAATATAAAATGCTCATCATTTTGTTGACAGCATTTATTTAGGGAATTATTTGCTAATTCTGGTGTATTATTTCTTATAGTGTAGATTAGAATGATGCCTTTTTTACCTCAGTCTCATTTTCAGATAGTTCCTTATCCCTTATCTGCAAGTGAATACTGGATTTTTTAAGTCTGAAAGTAATGTCCTACTTCCTGGTATGGGAACTGGTTGTATCAATGAGTGTCTGAAAATGTATTGTTTCATATAACTTAAAAGTATAAGGGTACTGTCTAGGGATTCTATATCATTTAAGTCTGGGAAAGCTAAGCCATTTAAGATGCCTTCAACTGCAAGTAATAGAAAACCCAGACTCAAATTGCTTTAACTATAAACAAATTTGTTACCTCATAACTTGGAGTCAGAAGTAGGACTCCAGGGATGGTACAAGCAGCAGCTAAATGATAAGATCAAAGCACACAGAGTATTCCTATTTTCTCTTCTTCCATCTTCATTACATAAGTTTTGCCCTCAGGATAATTACAGAGATTCCAAAGGGCATGTAAAGGTCATCCTAAAAAAGAAAAGGGAATGTTATTTCCTGTTTCTCTTAAGAGTAAAGAGATTTTTTTCTGAAGTCTTCCAGCAGACATACTATGATGCTTAAATGACCAGGATAAGATCACATGCCCAATGCTAAATCAATCATTTGCAAGAAGAATGGCATCACCATATCTAGCTTATACTAACCTTTTAGAGTGAGATGAATATTTGAAAGTCAGTCAGTGATCATGACCACCTACATATACAGAATATGTTCCTAGGACAATCTCCCTCTTTTTGCATAGCCTGCTCCATTCTCTTCTTTGGGGTGCCTCATTCTCAGTGTCTTACATGATAGTAATGTGAATAAAGCAGCTTAATCCTCATATCCTTTCAGATTCACTCTCCTCCAATGGAAACTGCCTCATGCCTAGCAATTTGTGCAACATCTCACTGTGTCTCATTGTGTCTCATTGGCTCTGACGAGGTTAGATGCGTATTCCTAAACTAATCATTGTACCAGTAATTCTATACTCTGAAAGATCAGGCTTATGTTGTTCCCAAGAGAAAAATTGTGGCTCTATTGCCAGAAGAACTGTGATAAGATGGTAGGCTGCAGTATCAATTGATGTCTATTATAATTAAACACATTTTGCAGCTCAGCATCCATATAAGCCTATCCTGCCATACATACATGTCCAAGAATCCCTCCAATTTTTACTTTGACCAACTATTGATGGATATGAATTGCTGTCTATTTGGAAAATATCTTTGCTAGAAAAACTGCTACACTAACTTTTTAGACAACAGATTAATTAATGACTGTTTTTGAACTTTAAATAAATTGAATAAAGCAATGTGTGCCCCTTAGTTGTCTGGCTTCTTTTTTCAGCATATTTGAGAGATTGATTCAATAGTTGTAGCTTGAACATTCTCATTACTGCATGATATTCCAATGTATGAATATACCCCATCATATCCAGTATGCTGTTGATGGAAATGTAAGTGTTTCTTAGTTTGGAGTCATTAAAATAGTTAAATACATTTTTTCTCTTTCAAACAACTACTGAGGTATAATTTACAATACAAAAGCTGTACCTAATGAGGACCACGTATATTTTATAATTTAAAAAATAGGATTTGAGATTTTTATAATAGGAGACTAAACATCTTTCCCATTAAAATCTGAACAAATATAGTAAAAAAGAAAATCCACTCTCAATGGCATCTAAAATATGAGAAATAGGAAATAATTACCTAGCTGAGATAGGAGAACAGTTCCAAGAGGCGAATAGGGCATTTGGTGGATGTTTTTCTACTGGGGAAGTTTACCCATTCTAGAGAGAACCACTGAAAGACTTAGAAGCTCAGCAGAACTTGTGACTGCTTGTCAAATCTATGAATATAGAATGTGGAGTCCAGAACCTTAATAACCTCCCCCACCCTTTAACTTTTGATTGAAATTCCAAGGGTGAAATCCTAGAAGTAAGAGTAACTATAACTTTTTAAAAAGCCCTCACTGAAACATATCTGCAAATTGCTTCCCATAAAAATTCCATGAACTTTCACTTGAATCTGCACTAGATATGAACCTCTTTTTTCATGATCAATTACATTAAGTAACATTTTAATGCTCTTTCATATTTTGGTTGTTGAATCAAAATTATTATTAATCCTATTTTTCCTTTTAGATGTTATTTTATTGTTTTAAGTGTAGTTGTTCTGTTAACATCTGACTCATCCCCTGATCCAAATACATAAGTACCTGGATAAGTAAGATACCATTAAGCATTCTTTTGTTTACAGAGGTTTTGGTTTGTTCATTTGCTTTCTGTTCGATTTAATTTTGCTGCTTTTTACCTTTATTGGTTCAACATTAGTATGCAACCGTTCTCAAAACATTTAAAGAATCATTTCAACATTCCTTAAAGAATACCCAATGTTTCTCCACTGATTTGTAAAACCATAACTTTTATCTAATTATTCCTTATAAAGCTATTTTTTGCAAAGCTTTCTATTCTGATAAATACGATCACTGCTTATTGTAGAAATATTATGTCAAATGTCCAGTACTGGGAGAAAAGCCAAATTATAAATCACTGTGAAAGTGAATTTTATGGACTAAGGGCAAGATATGTAACAGGTGATGAATAAATATTTGTTGAATGAAAAAATGGATTAGAAAACATCTAATGTCCTAGAAAAATTAGTAGTCTTTACAGAAAGAGGCATGACATGAAACTGCAGATAAAAAACAATCCCAGTTTTGCAAAAGCGTTGGAAAAAGGAAAAAAAAAACGAAAAACAGCAGCAAAAAACAAAAATAAACATGAGCATTAATATTTTTCTGTGAGGCCCCCAAAAATTAGAGATGGGACTGCAGTTGATATTTTCCTCTTAATATTCGTTTCCTAAAATTTAGAGAGTGTTCACATTGTGCATGCAATTATCTTGCAATAAAAAAAAATCCCTCAAAAACAAAAACAAAAAGGCCAGGGAAGATCAGTCAGGAAAAATTAGGTAGAGACTGGGTCAAAATGGCAGACTTACCATAGTGAATTTCTCTGTTCCAACTTCAAATCCTTTCAAAAAGAGGAAAGACATATTTATGTGTAAAGAACAAATCCTTAAGGGCACGGACAAAGGTGGGAGGAGGGGGGCGGCGGCAAGGCGAATTCCCAGAAGATGGAAAGCAGATGGGGCAGAAGGACTAAGAAGGTGGAAGAAAAGGTCGGGGTGGGAACCAAGGGGCCCTGAAACGATAGAAGAAGGGGCCATTGGATTCCGAGGACCACTGTGGCACGAACTGCTCTGGATTTGGAAAGAGGTGGAGTTAAAGCCTGTAACTCCACCAGGGCTCCAGGCTGTGTGGTGGGCGTTGGAGCCTGGTGGAGACGAGGGCGCGGTGTTTGGCAGGAAGAGGAGGCCTCTCTCTGGGCAGGAAGCTGCGCTACGGAAAGAGGGAGGAGACTGCAGCGGCGACAACAGGGACTGGTGGAAGCCCGATGTGGCTGAGGGGCCACCGCTGGCCGCAGGGAGGCAGAGGGCCAGCCAGCCAAGCGTTGCGGACGCCGCTGCCTTACACTTCGCCTGCCTCGCCGTGATCCTACACACACTCCTCATCTGCGGATTCTGCCCTCCCAGCTCTTGCAACTCATTCGGCCGATTGTCTGCTAAACCTCCTTCGCCACAGGCTCACAACGGAGGCAGCAGCTAGGTGTCCGATTTGGACACGTGAGGCCCCCGATCCCCGGCGGTGGACGCCAGGCAGGGCAAGGCCATTAGTGGGCGCCAGAATGGAGAGGGGGATGGGAAAGAATCCAGGAGGAAACATGGGGCGGAGGTGGCCGCCAGGCAAAAGTGGGGTGCGGGAGTGCAGTGGACAACAGGAAAAGGGGGAAGGAATAGCAGCCAGACAAGGATTTGAAGGTGAGCGCCAGGAAGCAAGGGCGTGGGAACCAGGAAAGGGGTTAGGGTAGGCAGGGAGGATTGTGGACAGTAGCTGGGGCACTCAGGGCAGGAGGGCAGTGGGTGCCGGTGAAAGACGCTTTGCAGGGGATTGGGAGTGGACGCCAGTGGCAGTAAGGAGCTGGGGAAGGGCAGCGGGCTCCGAGCTGGGAGGAGGTGGTCCAGCCACTTCTACAGACTTCCTAACCCCAGCCAGCTCTACCCCACCACTCCTGCCCTTCTCCACAGCCCAGAGGAACATAAGAGGGAGAGCAGGGCAGGCATGCAGCCAGGATTTCCAGCATTGCTTCCAGGCTCCTGGGGAAAACTTAGGCACTAGTGCAGAGTACGTCCAGACATGGCCATAGGGAAAAGTTTGCCTTATGGCACGCTGGATATGTCTCTCTTTCCTCTCTCCTCCCCCAGCAGGCATGAAGACTCCCAACACACAGGAAGCCGAAGGGCAACAAACCAGGGCAGCTGCAGGACGGGCCACCGGGTCTGGAAACATGACAAAGAAAAAAGTCTCCCAAAAGAGGCAGAGAGGCAGACCTTCATCCCAGCCCCGCAGGAACATCGTGGGCTGCAGAATTTCTCACGGATGGAAGGAAGGAGATGAGCCCATCACCCAGTGGAAAGGAACCGTTCTGGATCAGGTGCCTATAAATCCCTCTCTTTATCTGGTGAAATATGATGGAATTGACTGTGTCTATGGACTGGAACTTCACAGAGATGAAAGGGTTTTGTCTCTTAAAATTCTTTCCGACAGGGTGGCATCATCTCAAGTTAGTGATGCCAACCTTGCAAATACCATAATTGGCAAAGCAGTGGAACACATGTTTGAGGGAGAGCATGGTTCTAAGGATGAATGGAGGGGGATGGTCTTAGCACAAGCACCTATCATGAAAGCCTGGTTTATATTACCTATGAGAAAGATCCTGTCTTGTACATGTACCAGCTTCTAGATGATTATAAAGAAGGTGATCTCCGTATTATGCCAGAATCCAGTGAGTCTCCTCCAACAGAGAGGGAGCCAGGAGGAGTTGTAGATGGCTTGATAGGTAAGCATGTGGAATATACCAAAGAAGATGGCTCCAAAAGGATCGGCATGGTCATTCACCAGGTGGAAGCCAAGCCCTCTGTGTATTTCATCAAGTTTGATGATGATTTCCATATCTATGTCTATGATTTGGTGAAAAAGTCCTAACTGTTAGCGTAAAATTTGCCACATATGTGGAAACAAATGTATACTTCCTAGACATGCAAAAAATGTTGCTTTTCAGTGTATTGAAAGCTTAAGGATCCCTCATAACCCAATATTTTGCCAGCATTAACTGTTGTTTTACTCTACAAAATACAAACTTGTGTGTACATGACATGCTGTGTGTAAGCACTTTGTCTTGTTGAAAAGATTGGGTGTGATTGGTAGATGGGGGATGAAAGGAAGGAACAGCTGTCAATTTCGGCTGCGAATAAAGTTCAGCTAGAATCATAATCGGTCATCTAAAAATGGCACCGGATTTAGCTGGTCTGGTCTGGTCTGGTCTGAAGGGGGCAGGGGAAGGAACTAGAGATTGGCTGTTGGATGGGAAGAAAGGAGGAGGTGACCGTTAGGAAGAGGTGGAAAGGGCCAGAAAGGGACAGGCTACTTGGGGGTAGGGATGACTTATGTGGAGGAAACATCCACCTGGGAAGGGAGTGACGAATAACAGAGGGAGAGTGAGATCTTAGGGCTTAGAGGAAAGAGACAGAATAAATTGAATAGAGAGGAACACAAAGAAGCATAGAAGCGATCCAGAGTAAAAGGTAGAAGGATCAACCTGACAGGGATCTGGGAGAGGCTAAAGGATTCACAAAGTAAGAGGTTATGTGGGATAGGGTATCGGTGGGATAAGAGGAAGAGGGCCACTGAGGAAGGAGGAATTCAAAGGAGAAAGACTGATGGAGTAAGAATACAGGAAAAGAGTTGTGGCGTGCAGGGCCCCTGAGAGATTGGAAGGCCCAGGAAACGGTTGGACTTCTGGCAGTGTCCGCATTGCTCTTCCTGTCTTCATGTACAAAAGATAATGGCAACTGTCAAAGAAGTCTGATGCATTGTAGGTTCTCTAGAAGGTCATTCTGACAGGGCTGATTCAGTCAAGTTAATCAGGAGCCAAGTTGATACCCATAAGGCTTTTCTTGTTTCAGGGAGTTCATGACGCACCTGCCCAGCAGAACCCCAACCCTCAGCCTAAACACACTAACATGGTTCCTCTCACACAGTGCTGGGCTATGGGGGATCTCCCCACATTTGCCCTGCACTGGATAAACAATACTGGTAGAGGATGGGTTAGTGGGGCTCTCAGAACTTAAGACATGTGCCATCTTGAATTTGGAAAGTACTTTATCCAGAAAATTGAATCTTTCTGAACTCAGGTACACCAGTCTCATCACTCCTTTTCTTTCTGCTGGAATGTTGTTTTTCTATCTAAAGATAAGGGGCATCAGAGGATTGAGCCTAGAGTCTCCAGAGTATGGGGAGTACTTAACTGTCCAGGCTTCTTTCAACAGCTGACTGAAACCACAGGTGGCTGTGACCAATGATCCACTAAAACAGGCTTGCTCTCCCAAGAAGCCATATTCTGGTTAGACCTTCCCCACAAAGCTTGTGTCTTCAGACCCCTCGCAGGCACATGTTGACCAGTCTTGCCTACCCAGCTCACAGAGACCTGTGATAGAAGTCTGTGCAGCTCTTTGTTTCCAGGTGAGGCAGATGCCATGGGCATTTGGGCCAAGAGTTGTGACTTGGTATGACTCACTCAGCTGTGCAGTGTCACAAGGAGGGGTCAAGGTTGGTGGGGAGAGGGAGCAGCAACCCCCCAAAAGTCCTTCTGAACGATGGTGTCTGATGCACAGACAGATCCGTGTCTTTCTCTTCCTGCCCTCCTTGCCTTTCTCCAGTCTTTCTCCTGTAAGCTCACCTGAAAACTCTCTCACTTTTTCTGCAACCGTAACCTTCACCAAATTATATGCCTGACCCCAAAGAAAGGGCTGGTGACTTCTGCTGCCCAGATTACCCTAACTCCATGCATAGTGGGAGATGCATGATCTCCCTGGAGCTGAAAGAAGGTGGTAAATATAGTTTATTCTCTCCACCCAATATGGCCTGAGACTGACTGCCTCAAGAATTAAAACAAGGCAAACCTACCTCACCATAGCAAGGATTGATTTTCTTATATACATCACACAGTTCAGTCCAACTAAAACCAGCAGGCTGTCCAGGGACCAATCTCACTCAGCTGCCAGGTTTCGTTTATCTTTGTGTTTTTATTGTTTCTATTTTCAGTTAGGTACTTTAGACAGTTGAGAGATTTCACACAATGAAAATTCATGATTCTGGAACCTCCTGAAAATGAAACAGAGCAACAGCAACAAAAACATGAGGGTTAGGCCCTCATTCCAACAAGGATACATGTAGCTGGGCCTTAGGCAGGTCTCAGTCCAGTTTAGATTCAGAATACTCTCTCCAGTAGGCCACACCCCCAGCTTGCCAAGTTCACTCTAATAAAATGCACAGTTGTCCCCTGGAAGTGTTCATGCTTGTAACTGGGGCTACACCCTGGGAAAACTGCCCCTTTGACTTGCTTTGATCCCATTTGCTTTTTAATTTACTTGTTTTCTTTATCCCGCAACTACTTCAGGTGGGCTCTCTGCTAGGTACAGATACCTATGATGTAATCATGAACGAAAGAAACAAAATAAAATTCTTATCCTCATGGAGCTTTCATTTTAGTGTGGGAGACAGACTGTGGCCAAAACAAACAAGCAATTATAATGTGTTTTCATAGTGACTAGTGTTAAATAGAAAAACAAAAGCAAGAAATTGGGATAGAAAATTTCAGGAAGGAGGCTGAAACTAGATAGAGAAGGTGGCCAGGGAAGACCTCACTGAGAACTTGGCTTTTGAGTCTCACCGGAGGGCAATGGGAGAACTGACCCTGCAGCTGTCTGGGGAAGGAGCATGCCGGATGGAGGAACAGCAAGTGCAGAGGCACCAAGACAGGTTTATGCCTGGCATGTTTGAGGAGCAATGAGGATGCTAGCATGTCGGGAGCTGAGTGAGCAAGGCAGAGAATAGCAGGAGGTGGTTTCAGAGAGGTAATGGGGATGAGGGAGAGGCAGACAGCTGACAGCTCTGTGGATTTCAAAATGCAATTTGTCTTTTACATTGATGTGATGGAGAGTCATCTATGTATTGATAGTGGAGATTTGTCTTAGTTTAACAGGATCACTCTGACAACTTGGAGAATACTTTTATTAGTACATGATGAATTAAAGGGAAATAATTAGTAGGCTATTCCAATTATGTAGGTAACAGTTGATGGTGGGTTTCACCATCCTGGTGGCAGTAGATATGGTGAAAATTAGTTGGTTTTGGCTGTTTTCAGTTATACCCTGCAGATTTTCCTATTGGAAGAGAAACATGAGTCAAGAACTACACATGTTTTCTGGTCTTATTTGATGATTTCCTTAAGAGAAACAAATTCCCAGTGAAAACCATAGATCACAGAGTTAGTTTCTATACTAACTGCCTAGATTGGGTATAGAATACTGATGAAGTGATCTCTAGAGAATAGGAAACTGATCCAGGGTCTCATTGATAAACCATTGTTTTTGGCCTTGCCCTTCTGGATAAC